TTACTTCCCAGGCCTTGTCTTCATAACGGGAATAGTTACATGGCTCACAAGAACAGATACAGAAAATGAACTGCCTGATGATCTGGAAATGCACAGCAGCCTAATTCATTCACTCCCACTGTTCAAAATGACTGAGCACCTAGTTTTCATGAGTTGTGTCCTCAGGAGAATTGCAAGGTGCTGTTTCTTTTGGCAGGGGGTAGGAGATCAAAACTGTATTTGAAAACTAGCAATGAAGATAGATTCAAAGAAACTAGTAGAATGAGGGCAAAATTTCAGACACAGGTAGATTTGAGCATTGGAGTGAATGCAAAGTCAATGGTGACAAATCACCTCGCTGAGCTGAGTTCAGTTCTCCGTTGACAGGAAGGAGCAACAGCAATGAGAAGTGAAGAAGCACTCATCAGCTTAACCCCTCAGGGCCACTCGGATTGACTTTTTCCTACTCAGAGCTGGGGGGCGGTTTAAATGACACTGTGTATTTGAGGTGTCTGGCCTACATTGGAGCTGATTAACAGTTCATTCTTCTCGTACTGTCTGCCACCCCAAAAGGGCGAGGACTGGGCTTTTACTGCCACATCCAGCCCCTAATACAGCATTGCGTAACAGGTGTCTGTGGGGATAACGTGAGGGGAAACGGCTTTACTTCCTGGAATTCACCAGAAATGATCTGTAGACGACAAATTGGTGACAGTAAAAGTAGAAGTTTATAATTCCACAATTCAGTGACAGCTGGCACACTGAGACCCTGGGGGACAGAAAAATGAAGGAGGTGGCCATCTCCCAAGACTGGTCAGAATCTAAATGCTCCATTCAACCGGTGACTGACTAAATTTTATTTCACCTTCTTTTTTTATATCTGCCAAAGTTCATGAATTAAATGTAGATGGAAATAAGAACAGGTTTTTTCCATATGGATTAAGAAAAGAATAAAAGTCACTGGTACACCTGATAAACAAGTAAACACATCAAATGAAGATGTCTTTCTCAGTCATTTTCACAATTGCAAGACAAACCTGGCATATGATACAAATTGAACGAAAAAGGAAAGTTTCAAGAAATCAAGAGGAAAAAAGATGACAAAAAACAGCACCACAAAGCCTTAGATATTGTCCAGGATTTTAAAAATACTAGAGTAGAATTGGCTTAAGAAAACATCTCTAGCCCTCACTGGCGTGGCTCAGTGGATTGAGCACTGGCCTGTGAGCCAAAGGGTTGCCGGTTCGATTCTCAGTCACAGGGCACATGCCTGGGTCCCCAGTCCTGGGTGCATGAGAGACAACCACACATTGATGTTTCTCTCCCTCTCTTTCTCCCTGCCTTCCCTTCTCTAAAAATAAATAAATAAACAAATAATCTTTTAAAAAAAGAAAACATCTCAATATAATTTACATTAACAATTCAGCTGTTTCACACATCAGCTCACAATCTGAGTCAAACAGAAGTGTCCTAACCAAGAAAAGAAGCCAAGGGAAATAGCTGAATTTCTACATTACCAGAAGTCAAGGGATCTAAAATTAAATTAGATTGCTGAATAAAAACCATAAATTGATCCTAATTCTAAAATAAACTCAAGGTTCCACATAAAATGGCAAGTGACACCCCACAACTGTCCTAAAAACGTAACACCACAAAACAAAGTGCCCTGACTGCTGTGGCTCAGTGGATTACACGACCTCTTGCAAACCAAAAGGTTATGATGTTTCTCTCCTTCTCTTTGTCCCTCTCCTTAAAAATAAATAAAATCTTAAAAAAAGAAGAAAAGATAGAGGTATCAGTTAGGTGTATTGAGTGTCATCTATCTGCCAGGCTCTACTCTAAGCATGTTCCCATATACAGTCAGGAATCCTCAAGGTAGGATCCCTTCAAAACAAACAAACAAAATTAAAACGATTACTTTATAAAGGAAGCACCTAAGACACAAAGAGGGAAGGTAACTTTTCCAAAAATATATAGTTTAGAAAGCATCAGAAACACAAGCTAAAGTCAGGTGTGAGGCTGCCAAGTCAATACTTCCTATCAAAATGGCCATATTGGTGAAATTCTCCTAACTAACTCTTTTAGGGTACCTATTAAGATGCTATGATAAAGTGGAAATTTTTTAGAAGGACAGAGTTTCAACGTTATTTTCAAATTAACACTAAAAAAGAGTTCTTAGTTGTCTCCCCAGGGGAATTATCTTCACTCTCCTGGTTCAATTGCCTGCATCCACTCTTCCTCTTACATTATTCTCCTAAGATAATGAATGCATGGCATGGTGCCAAGAAAATGAGTTCTCAGTAATTGTTGACAATCAATGAATATAATAGCTGTGCAATAAGTGCTCACCGAACTGAATTCAAATGAACAAAAAGAAAATCCCAATCATCTGCATAAATAGAGATTGGAATAAGCTAATGAAGAACCGTTCCACACCTCAGGAAGAGAAAAAATAGTTAAAAGTTCTGAAAGAAAACACCCAGGATCCAATATTAAGTATATATGATCCATCATGTCTTTATACAGCCGGTCTGTCCCACATCCTGTCAGTTCACCTTCCCCAGAATCTCACTTTTCTCTCATCTCAGCTACGTCCTTCCTTCAAACGAGTGGGAGTAGGACAGCTGCTCCAGAGGAAGGGAAGGATGTCACAAATAGTCACAGCCAAGTGCCAGCTGGACCATTCTCCCAGGCCTTCCCAGGTGGAGAAAGGCTGGAGTGGGAATGTACGACCCTCCACCTTTACCTTGGCGGCCTGCCCCAATGTGCTAACTCTCAGGAAGGCGTGAAATCAGCTCAGCTTGTCAATCAGGGAGCACAGCTGGACTCTGGCTAAATTCTATCCAAGGAAAGGGGAGAAAACTTTTGAAAATTAAACGGAATGAAGAGCCTTTTCCTCAGGGTAGGCCAGGTGCTTCCTATGACTGCTCACTGGAGAGGGGTTCACCCAGGGCCCCAGGCCTTCCTCCTCTGGAGAAGGAAATGGGAAGATGGGCCACTGGCAACCTAAGTCAGACATATACCATGAGAAATGTCACAGAATCAATTTGCCAGCAGCCTGCTAATGAGGAGCATCACACACCCAATCCTCTGTGCTTTTAATTTCCAAGAGGCATTTTAACTGTCTTAGCTGAGACAGTTCCCACGATCCCCTGGGGAGGCCATGGGGCACCTGTCCAAAAAAAACAAAAGGTCAGAATTGGTCTTACAGAGCCAAGAGAAGTAAAGGTGCAGGAGGACAACCCATAGAATCCAAGGCCATATGCCTGAAGTATACTGGTTTGGCCTCTATCCCCCAAAAGCTGTCCCTGTCACCTTTATGCCACAGAGAAGAGGCCCTTGAGTCCTACAAGAAAAACTATGGAAAAAGCATTTCATTCAGCCTCATAATGGAGCCATTCTCCTCCTGCATGGCAGCCCAGGGAGGTGTTAGCAGTATTTGTCAAAGGGCAACTGCACACAAACTGGGGGAGAGAATGAAAGAGAAATGGCAGCCCAGAGCCTGCCAAGTGCACATCCTCTGAAATCAGCCACCACCCATTTCCACGAAGGGTGGAGGGGGAAGCCAGAGTTTGTCCTGCTCAGCCCTTCCCCTGTACCTTGCCTGGGATAAAGTCTTAAGTCTATTCCATCTGCTCAACCTTCCTAAAGATGACATAAGTTCATTAAAGCTTGTGGTCTATAATATGCTTGCAACTTCTTAACAAAAACAAACAAATTAAAAAAGGCTGCCATTTTAATTCAAGTGTACAAAAAATGAAACTCAAAAGGAAAAAAAGGTGCTCTTATTGGGTAGCTCAATTGGTTGGAGCATCACCCCCATACACAGAAAAGTTGAGGGTTTAATCTCTGCTCAGGGTGCATGTGGGAGGCAACTGATCTGAGGTTTTTGATGGATGTTTCTCTCTCACACTGACATTTCTCTCTCTCTCCCCCCCTTCCCTCCCCCCTCCTCTAAAAATCAATAAACATATTCTCAGGTGAGGATTTAAAAAATTGTTTTAAATAAAAAAGAGAAAAAAAGGCAAAAGTAATTAGTGTATTCTGTAAGTAAATAGTTAACTCAACCAATAAGCACATGAAAAGATGCTCAAGCATCAGTAATTATTAAGGAAATGCAAACCACAACCACAATGAGAGTCCCTCACCCCCATTAAGATGGCTACTCTCAAACAAACAAAAAACCCAGAAAATAACAAGTGTTGACAAGGATGTGGAGAAATTGGAACCCTTATGTACTGTTGGTGGGAATGTAAAATGGTGCAACCACTTTAGAAAACAATCAGGAGGTTCCTCAGGGAAAAAAAATCGATTACCATGTGATCCAGCCATTCCACTTGTAGATACTCAAAAAAAAAACCCCAAAAAACCCTGAAAGTGGGGTCTCAAAGAACTATACACACACCCATTATTCACAATAGCTAAAATGTGGGAGCAACCCAGTGTCCATCAACAGATGAATGGGTAAGTAAAATGCGGTATGTAATACAACAAAATATTGTTTGACCTTAAAAAAGAAGGAAATTCTGATATAGCTACAACATGGATAAACCTTGAGAATGTTCCGCTAAGTAAAATAAGCTGATCACTAAAAGAAAAATACTGTACGATTCCACTTATATGAGTACTTGAAGTAGTCAAAGTCACAGAGAGCAAAATGGTAGCTGCCTGGGGCTGGGAGAAGAAGGGGACAGGACGTTACTGTTTAATGGGCAGTTTCACACGGACAGGATGGAGGGTTCTGAAGATGGATGGAGGGTGGTGATGGGTGCACAGCAATGTAAGTGCATTCAAAGTACACTCAATGGTTTAGAATTGGTTTTAGAAAAAATTAGTTAGCTATGTCTGTCTTCTGTCAAATTAAAAAAAAATGTCACTCTATGTGGCAGGCAGAGGAAAGTAATGAAGGAAATCACAGGTCTACCATGTAAAAACAATACATGTTTTCAAGCTCTTTGAATTCTAGGCTTGTCTGCAAAACCTACTTAACCACACACATCCACCCCTCCGAAGCCACTCACCTCACTGAGGTAAATAAAAAAAGAGCAGGTGGACCCATCCACTCCGTAGTCTGCGTAGCAGGGATCTGAGCGCCACATATCTTTCATCCACTGAAACAACAAGAGCCAGGTAAGAACATCTCTGAACAGCCTGTTCTTGGTGACCCTGCCCATCTCCTATCAGAGGGAGAGGACACGTGCACGGCTCAAGTGGAGGCCTAAGCTCAGTCACTTAGCTGTGGTCAGGATGACAGACTCAGCTCCTGCATGATCCACAGACACACACGGGCTTGGGCTGGGCCTTGAGATGTGCTCAAGGTAGAGAGGTCATGGGCACATCAGACAGCAAAGCCCAGGAGAGGCAATAGCTAGGAGAGTTTTACCATGAGCAAGTGCCTCATGGGATGCTTGCATCAAAATCCCCTCCCCAGAAAGCTGGTTTCACCAGCAGGAGCACAGTGCTAGGAAGGCAGTGCATGAATGAGCGCAGGCGACTCAGAGACCGTGGAAGTGTTCCCGGGGCTGGGTCTCACCACCCTAATCATACTCCTGAACCAAGACTTTTCTCTGGCAACTACTGAGCAGGGGAGCGGTCTCCCCAACAACAGGCCATGTAAATAAGATATTTTAAAAAAATATTAAGACTGGAAAAGTGGCCAAGTGTCTCTGGGTATTCAATAGCAAATGCAAATATGACATTTAAATGACAATCTGGAGACCTCAGAGCTGGGCCTAGGGACTGAGAGAGAGAAGCTGGACACTAAATAATGGCAGCCCCTTGTCACTCACCCTTGAAAGATCACCTGCTGGAGGCTGGGAAAGCAAGGGAAAGGCAGCCTCAAAGACACAGCAGGCGCCTAAAATGGTCCAGGCTCTTTCAGTCTGACCAGTCGGAGCCACTGTAGACTGACCTCACAGAGTTGGCAGCGGCAGGGAAGGGTTGTCATGACCACAGCCCCAAACAGGCAGGACTGAACCATCCCTTAAATAACTCCCTTAAAGGGCTCACTCACCCTTTAAGAAAGGGCAAGTTAGTGCCAAATGAGGATGATAGAAACGAATACTCAATACTTCAGCCTTACCTTGATTTTCCCCTCACAGTGGGGGAAGCCATCCATAGGAGGCAATACACATTTTTCTTGAGCTCCATTAATGATATCTGTAAAAGATGAAAAAGAGCAAAGAATACATGAAGTTCATGAAACAAAGCCTAGCATCTTTGCAAGCAAGGGGCAGGAAGAGGAATGGAAAACAGAGTCACAGTGGTAGCCATGCACTGACCCGTGCAACCCCTCAGCTAGCAGCAGGTCTGACTGATGTGCAGTGAGGACAGCCCACCTGCAGGATGTGTGTGGCCCAGTTTGAATGGACGTGCTACACCAACCAGAGCAGTTGCTTGGAAATCTACAACTGGGAAACTGAGAAACCAAAGAAGTAGGGAGCAGGAAACAGAGCCACAGGATTAGGAGGGCCCGCAGGCTGGCGGGGAGGATGCCAGGCCATGGCGACAGGCTGAGCTCAGGAGCAGCTTCACGAGGACATGCGCTAGGGCTGAGGCAGCCACCAGGAGGCAGGGGCAAACAGAGTTAGCGGACGGAGAGCACAATGCCATTAGGTACATCTGTGAGCAGAGCCTCTTAGGGACTCAGCTCTTAAATTTCCTTGAAGATCTCCTTGCTGCTTCAATTATTTCCTCACTGTAAGCTCCCTTTCAACTAGCTCAAATAGGCTCCTATTCCTTGTAACTACAGAATCAAAACAAAAAGAATGCCTTTAAGAAGCCTAAAAGGGGTGAACAGCAGATGAATAATTAAACAACTGAACAGTAGTATGATTGACATCATGTTCAGGAGGGGCAAGGGAAGGATGCCCATCCCACTCTGAGAATTAAAGAAGACCTCCCTCTTGAGTCCAGCTACAGCTTAGCTGAGATGTGAAGGGGAAGTAGAAGTGAGCCAGGTAGAGGGACAAGGTAGAGATGGTGTTCAGGAACTAAGGTGGTAGGTTGCTGCAAATGCAGGGGCTTGCTCTGACTGCAACGACACTGGGAGGTGCTGAGAGGTTAGACAGGAAAAGCAGATGCACCCCAAATCAGAAAGACCTCAAGTACCAAGAGAGAGAGACTCTGGTCCTTATGCCAAGGGTGTGGCAGAGCTCTGAAAGGTTTTAAGGAGGGAAGGTTACAATCAGAGTTTTGTTTAGGAATGATCATTTGAGCTGTCTGTTAGAATGACCCTAAACATACTATATTTTCTGGACCTACTATATTTTCCAGACCTGCTTGGAAAATGTCACCATTACTAACTGCTGACAGTTTTCTATCTTTACAAAGTATCAATGAGAAATTGGATCCCAGGCCACAATATCAATTGACAGTGGTATGTAAGTGATGTCGGCGGCTGCTGGGGCTAGAAGAGAGGTTAGTGCTAAAGAGGGGGTAGGGGAGGGCTAGCTGTATCTTTCCTTGAAAATCAGTTCTTCTGCTAGTCTGAAACAGAGAAATTTTGACTTCTTGATTCAGTGTTTTCTACTTCCTAAGGATAACTACAGCGAAAACCTAGTATCTTCCTTATCACAGATCGGGGGCAGTGCCATTTAACAGTTAACATGGAACATATTTATCTTGTCAAAGTCTGTTTCCCCATCTATAGAATGGGAATAACTACACCTCTATTTCACCCAGCTGTTATTTAATAGGTTAATATTTGTAAAGTCTAGCACTCTTAACAACTGATAACACTGAACAGAGCAGATGCTTAAAGCTGGCATTTGTTATGTAATTCGACATAACTTTCAGTCACTATATCCAAGAAAGCAGTACTTCGAATGTATTGCTGCTTTTGAAAACACACACTCTCTCTCACTTACTTGTAAGGGAACAGCCAGCTCCACAATCCACTTATCAAATCGACTGCCTCACCAACGAATACTGATGCTTTTCAATGACTTTGGCTCCTATCACTATTTTTAATTCCATTTTGCTTGGCAACATTTTACCAAGCAAATCAGCAGCAGCAGAGGTTGTAAGAAATTAGACTGAGTCCAAAACAGCTGGGAATTGGGGCAATTAAACATTTAAGGGGAGAAATGTTTGGGTGAAATGCCTCCCTTTCTTCATGTAGTATTCCAATTCCAGATGTTCAGAGCCAGAAGTCATCAAAACTAGAAGCTACTGAGTTGCAGGTGTAATGTGTGGGGTGAAGAGAAATTACTGGGTGGCTAAACTAACAGGTCCGTGAAGGTCTGCAAGCAAAGCCTGGCTGCTGACAATGTGTATCCTCTTCACTAGGAGTTTTAGGAATAAAAACGTCACATCAAGAGTCAGCAAACACTGACCATAAAGGACCAGATGGTAAATGTGTGAAGCTCAGCAGGCTGCATGGTCTCTGTCACAACCACCTACTCGGGTTTGTACCAGCAACGCAGCCACAGGCAACAGGGGGAAGAATGGACATGGCCGTGTTCCAGTAAAACTTTATTTACAAAAACAGGCACAGACCCCCTATATCTGCTATGCTAAAAGAGTTCCAAAATGAGGAGCCTCGTTTCTGCTAAGACCTATTGAAATGATTTTTTTAAGGCTACCTGTAGGATCCTCTGCCAGGAATGCCCTTCCTCCCACCCCTTCCGCCTTCCGCTCTTTCTCCACTCAGTAAAAAGCCTCTTGTGAGACCCGGCTCAAGCCCCACCTGTGGAACAAACAGTCCCAGTCTTTCCTCCCCACACTCAGTCAGCTTTCAGTGTCACCCTGGCAGTGAACAATTGCGAGCTCTTTTTTTTACCCCCTTTGTCCATCTTGCCTCCTAAGCCTTGAGGACTTTAAGGAAGGCGATGACTTTCTGCCCCATCACCAGGCACCTGGTAAGTACTGTCCGACTGAGTAACACACCTGTGTTCCATGGGCACTCTGGGTCTGCCTCTTTGCTCAGGGAGAGCCAGACTGAGCTGAGACCCCCACCAGGCTAGGCTTTTTACTGCTCCTCCAACTGGCCGTTTATCAACTAACCCAACAGGGTCTTCTCTGCAATTCCACTTTCTTATGATGAGTCTTCTATTTAGTTACACAGTGATGAAGATGATGAGTACACAATGAATTCCAAGAGCTCAGTTTAGTGGCTTGAGGCTCTGGGGTAGCAGAGATCTGTGAAAGGGAGAAGCAGGCGCTTCCAGCTGCCTCCCCAGCGTGGGCCAGGGCTGCTCCGAACCCCAGCATCAGTGACAGGGAAAGACCCCCATCACCTCACAGCTCCTCTCAGAGGAGAGCTCCCCATTTTGTTTTCATCACAATGAGAAAGATTCAAAACATAATGTTTTTGTTAGTTGGTATCCACAGGACACGTTCCTACCTGTGGAAGAGCCTCCAATTTAAGTTTGGTTGAAAACCAAAAATTCAGGTTAATGTTACTGCTCTTCAGGGGAGATTTATCTTATTGTACACAAGTCCCCTTCAAAAGGAGGAGACAGAATTCTGCCAAGATTTGTTGGTGAAATCTTTTCCCTGCTAGTCATCCCATGCTCTCCAGCACCCCATTTTTTTAAATGGTGAAAGGGCAAGGGAAAAAAGATGTTAATGTAAGCAATGAAGCTCGGCTCTTAATACTGCTTAGGATCCAGTTTCATCCCTTACCCTCACACACCAGCTCTTGTTGCGTGTTTCACAGAAGACCTCACTTCTGCACTGATTCTGTGGGATTCTCAACCAGGCATTATAGGAGAGGCAGACAACACAGGTGTGAAAATGTTGTTGTTTATCAGTCACCAGGACTCACATAATGTAGGAGGGGCTAAACACTGGGTTTAATCTAAGAGGACACTTTTCTTGTTACCAAAAATGATTGTTTCTGTATGGACATGGATGGTAGGAGCAGAAGCAGCCACAGATGCCAGAGACACACCCAGGGTGGGCTGCTCCTGTGAAGTGTGGAGCCAGGCTCTCCCCGGCAGTCACAATGTACGAACACAGATTCAATACATGTATTTGGAAGCCAGAGACAGAGATAGGGAACCACACACACGTTTTTTTACTCATGCTTTCCTCTGCCTCTGAGGAAGGAAGGAAAGTGGGGAGACAGGAGAGCAGGGAGGACAGAAGTGGTGATGGCTCAGGGAGATGGTGAGAACCGTAAGAGGGCAACACAGGAAACGCAGGTGAATGAGAACTACCTCCCTCGATACAGCAGCTGCCTATCTAAAGTGCTGTCGCATACATGACCGCATGGTGCACTACCCATATCCTCCTGAGAAAGGAAGACAGTTGGATATCTAAGAGTTTGAAAAAGAGAAACTTTAAAATCCTCGGTGTCTGCCTCCAAACTCAACCTGTAGTCACTTGGAACATCTCCAAAAGCCTGCTGTTTGCCATGTGCTGAAATGTCAAAGCTGCATCCTTGAAAGGCATGCTCTGTCCTCAAGGAGCTCACCACAGCGCGGGATGTGGGGGAGGTGGGACCACACCCAGCAGAGCGAGGCACCTGGCAGCAGAGCCCTGCTCCTGGGAGGGGAGACAACACCCTCAGTTCCAGGGCCCAATGTCCAGCATAGCTCCTGGCCCCCTGGGAACTCCACAGTATATCTTTTAAGCAAATGAATGAACAAATATAACAAAGGAATGAAGAATCTAAGTTCTATAAACATGAAGAGGGGAGAAAACATCGCAGAGGAAGGGAGTGGGAGATCCTCATTCAGAATCACTGAGCCAGGAAATCCAAGTTCTGGACGACACACTAAACACAACGGGAAGGAACTTAGGTTCGACAGAAAGGAATGAGGGGAGGGATGGGGGTAGGGCAGTGAAACAGGAATCATTTCTGATGCAAAGAGAGGGGAAGTGGTTATCTCCCATGTATTACTGGCATTCACACCTTGTTGGTATTTACAAAGAGAACCTTATGGTTTGGCTAGATATGATCTTAATGATTAATATGTGTTTAAACTTTTGGCATCTCTAAGCCACACTGGAAGAAAATTGGTCTTGGGCCACACATTAAATACATTGTGACACGTAATTACAAAAAAAATCTCATAATGTTTTAAGTAAATTTATGATTTTGTGTCGGGCCACATTCATAGCCATGCTGGGCCACATGTGGCCTGCAGGCCACAGGTTAGAAATCTCAGTATTTGAAAAGATAAACAAAATCGACAAGCCTTTAAGCAGAC